GCGAGACGGCGAAAAGTGAACTGACCCAGGCCTAAACCAGGTCTAAACCAGGTCTAAACAGCGTGGAGTTCTGTGTCGGTCCTTTTGCCCACGGTTATGTGAAGGTCTACGCGGCCACGTCTCCGGCGTTTCTCCACTGCTGATATCAAGGTGATTTAAGCAAATTTGTATGAAGAAAAATCCACCACTTCAATTCAGGTTAAAAAAGCATTGTAACGCGCATTACTGACATTTGTACCCAGTAAAATATTACCACGTTTTCCCCTGTAAAGCCACATTACTGCGTTACAGCAAAAAGCAACATATTACAGTAGTTTGTTACTTTTATAACACGTTACTCCCAACACTGACCTCCAGAAAAGCTGACAATATGAATCAGCTGATAAAGAAAAACTGAAAAATCCTTTGCACAGACTTTGCCGTTCTTCTCTCCCCTGTGTAGAATCCCTCTTCACCTCAGCACAACACAAACATGTCAGGGAGTGTTACGGGAATCGCTCCAAAACTCGGAACTGCTCCAACCCGGCACTGGGCCAAACCCTGTACTCAGGCCTCCCCCCCGAGTCCACACAAAACCAAAACACAATGAATATTTGATTTGATTCTGACGGGAGGTGCGGGTCATTTCCTCTCCTCACACCTCCCCGAGAGGACGGAGCTACAGCCCGAGACGCTCCGGGCTGACGGAGAGAAACAACAGGAGGCGACGCGTGAGTTTGAAACAGGTTTAGAAGGTGAATACGTCAAATACAGGACGAGAAACTTTGGATGAACTCACACAGACACACAGGGACACAGAGCTGACTGCACAGAACACACGGAGGGGAACTGTGGGGAAGAAAATGATCCAATCCACTTTCAGTCCTGTCCATTTTATTTCTATAGCACATTTTATAAATATGACCGACAATAAAAGGCAGTAAATTAGAAATAAAAACAATAAATAAAAGTGTTAGAATGCATAAAGCTAAAATAAAATCATTAAAAGAGACTGACAACCTACTGACCAGTACTGTCCTATAATGACCTGAGGGACCAGGACTAAACCAGGACTAAACCAGGACTAAACCAGGACTGAACCAGGACTAAACCAGGACTAAACCAGGACTAAACCAGGACTAAACCAGGACTAAACCAGGACTAAACCAGGACTAAACCAGGACTAAACCAGGACTAAACCAGGACTAAGACTAAACCAAGACTAAACCAGGACTAAACCAGGACTAAACCAAGACTAAACCAAGACTAAACCAGGACTAAACCAGGACTAAACCAGGACTAAACCAAGACTAAACCAGGACTAAACCAGGACTAAACCAGGATTATACCAGGACTAAACCAGGACTATACCAGGACTGAACCAGGACTAAACCAGGAATAAACCAGGACTGAACCAGTACTAAACCTGGACTAAACCAGGACTAAACCAGGACTGAACGAGGACTAAACCAGGACTGAACCAGGACTGAAGCAGGACTAAACCAGGACTATACCAGGACTAAACCAAGACTAAACCAGGACTAAACCAGGACTAAACCAGGATTATACCAGGACTAAACCAGGACTATACCAGGACTGAACCAGGACTAAACCAGGAATAAACCAGGACTGAACCAGTACTAAACCTGGACTAAACCAGGACTAAACCAGGACTGAACGAGGACTAAACCAGGACTGAACCAGGACTGAAGCAGGACTAAACCAGGACTATACCAGGACTAAACCAGAACTGAACCAGGACTGAACAGGACCAGTCTTGGATTTGAGAGAGAGTGAACCCGGAGGCTGCAGAGCAGGGTTCACTCTCTCTCTCTCTTTCTCACTTTCTCCGTGGGGCTTTTCAATTCATATTCTGATGGATAAAATACACACAATACATTTTATGTACGAGTGGACTCATTCTACAGTTTACAAATATTTATTTTATGCTCAACTACAGCCCAAAACAAAGCTTGCTTGCTCCATAAATGAGCATCATGATGTACATGTATGTTACTGTATTGGTGGTTTTCAGATTATACAATTTGTCGCGCATCTTTAGGTAGTTTTACTCGTCCGACAGCTTTTTTCCCATTGCTTTGTTTTTTAGAATCCTGTGAAAAGCTGTGAATGCTCACATCAGTTTGCCTTGAGACTGGAAATTACAACTGAAAGCCCCGCAGTGTGGCATTATATCAGTTGATGGCCTTAGCAAAATGGAGCTTAAGTTCAACCTGATGACAGAAGACAACAACCTTGTGACGAGGTTGCCCAGAATGCTTTGTGATTTAAACAAATAGTATTTTCTCCTTTTTTATTATTAAAAAATACTACAAACAAATATTTTTGAGTTTTTTGGTATTACATATTTATAACTGACACCAACGTTAATCATATAAGACCAGCATGTCAAAGTAGCCGGGATCTTTTTAACAGCCTGTTGTTCTCTGTTCTATTGTTATTACTAGAACTTGACTTTCAAGATGTCGGTTCCTGGTCTCTGATTTTATAAAATACATTTCCCCCAAAAGTGTGACTTAGGCTACGTTCACACTGCAGTCTGAAGTGACCCAAATCCAATTTTTTGGCCTCTATGTTCCTGTATCTGATCTTTTAATGTCAGTCTGAACGACACAGATCCAATTTTTTTCGAAATGTGACCCAGGACACTTGGATATGTGCTCCTAAAACTGATACATATCTGATCTTTTGACATGTGACTTCACATTATCAACAAGTCACAAACGTCACTATTCTGCGCTGACGTAGGCGAAAATTGTTAATAAACTCCATGTCACTGAAGTGAAGCACATCACCACTCACCACTCTTGGCTCCGTCTCCACATCCACACGTTCCTTTCATCGGACTGTCCCACAAAACACCACGACCAAAAACCTCGTCCTTCTCCTTCTCAATCTCCTCCTTAAAACAAGTAAGTTGTTCATGTTCTGGCTCCGGTACGAGAGGAACTTTAAAATCTCCAGGTGCTCGATGCTGCGTCCATGTTTGGACAACTTCTGTAAACACAGAGACGCTCACTGCGGTTGACGTGGTCGTGTCTCCAGTGCACATGCGGGACACTTCTGGGCCGTTTAATGTTCACACTGGAGTCACATACAAGTCACATTTAATTGTAAATGTGAACGACCTCGCAAAAACATCAGATTTCACAAAAAAATCTAAATTGAGCGTTAAACCCTGCAGTCTGAACGTAGCATGAGATATGTTTTTTTTTTTCTTCATTACACATTTTGGCTGGTGCTTCTTATACTCCTTATAGACTCCAAAAACTACAGTATTTAGTTTGGATTCATGTGTTGAGTTTGCGTGTTCACTGTGGCAGGCCTGTGGTAATATGGGTGTTAATATGTGTGTTAATGTGTGTGTCATTTTGATGCGATAAATGTGATGATGTAAACGTCTGTAAACATCTTTTCGCGCCTCAACGTTTAAGAGCAGCAGATAAAAACAGTTTGGGGTTTACATCAGAGCGGGATCAGGGTCAGGCCGCGTAAAAGATAAAAATGATTTGACATGTTGGTCTCTTTATGAACCCTTTTCTCTCTCGCTTTCTTCAGTTTTTTCTCAGATTTTTCCTCTCTTTCTCCGTCTCTGGAGTGTGCAGAAGAACAGCTCGGGGTCACAGTAACACACAGTGACAGTGAGGTGTAGCGTGTGGAGCACATGAAGTGGACACGGCGCTGGTTCACTCTGTAATCATGGCACAAATGCTTCTCCCAAGCTCTGTCCAAGTGTAAAATCGATCTGGTGTTGATTCATTTTGATAAAGTTGCAAATATCGTGCACTTCGCCGACACTGTACCTGATGAAAACACGTCTTAAAAACTTGAGGGAGGGAGTTTGTTTTGAGTTTATAAGCGATTTTTACGACTTTCAGAGACCACAGCGGAGTTTTGCAGCAACGGGAAAGCCAAACAGCTACCATGTGAACGTGAACTTCCTGATTATTAGACAATAAAATGCTTTCTGATTAGACGCAGACGGAACACGGAGCAATTCTTCTGACCTCGAGAGCCGGAGGAGGTGAAGAAGGAGGAGAAGGAGAAGGAGGAGGAGGAGAAAAGGAAGAAGAAGGAGAAAGCGGAAGAAGAAGTCCGAGGAGGAGAAGGGGGAAAAGGAGGAGAAGGGGAAAGAGAAAAAGGAGAAGACAAAGGAAAAGGGGAAGGAGGAGAAGAAGGGGAAGGAGAAGAAGAAGGAGGAGGAGCAGAAGAAGGAGGAGTAAAAAGAGGAGGAGAAGAAGGAGAAGGTGAAGAGAAGAAAAAGGAGAAGAAGGAGGAGCAGAAGGAGGAAAAGGAGCAGAAGAAGAAGTCTGAGAAGGAGGAGGAGAAGGAGAATGAGAGGAAGGAGAAGAAGAAGGAGGAGAAGAAGGAGAAGAAAGAGAAGGAGGAGGTGAGAAAAAGGAGAAGGAGGAGAAGATGAAGGAGAAGGGGAAGGAGGAGAAGGAGAAGGAGAAAAAGAAAAAGGAGAAGAGGACAAGTAGAAGGGGAAGGAGAAGAAGAAGGAGGAGGAGGAAAAAGAGGAGGAGAAGAAGGAGGAGCAGAAGGAGGAAAAGGAGCAGAAGAAGAAGTCTGAGAAGGAGGAGGAGAAGGAGAGGAAGGGGAAGGAGGAGAAGGAAAAGGAGAAAAAGAAAAAGGAGAAGAGGACAAGTAGAAGGAGAAGAGGAAGAAGAAGAAGCAGAAGAAGAAGGAGGCTCTTGATTTATGAGTCAATCTCTGTTCAGACTCTCCAAACAAATAGAACATCTAAATTCGCAATCATGCTTTGAAGTCGGGATGTAACAATAAATAAACAAATAAATCTCCATTTCATATCGTCAACATCACTTTTTGCTTCAATTCATTGTTCTGGTGCAACAACAGCTAAAAGAAACAGCGGGAACTACATAGACCATGATCCTTTGCTCTGTTTCAGTCCAATCTACACAATGAAATCACTTAATAGCTCTTTTAAATCTGAAGTCTTTTGTCCCCACAGCAGGTAGAGTGTGTTTGAAGAGTACCTCATAGTGGGCCACCCTCTGAGACTCGGAGATGAGCTGGGCACTGCACACTTTGCAGTAGGTGTCTGTGAATAGGCCTTGGTCCAGCTCTGTAGACTTCATCTGAAAAACACACACACAAAAAGACAGAGGTTTAGTCAAATATTTTTTTGTGGCTGCATTTCAAGAAAACAGAAGGTAAATGCACAAAATAAATATAGAAATAATTCAAATATCAGTATGTGATTTAAAGGGCCCATATTTTCTGATCTCTGTTCTAATGTTTCCTCGTCACAAACAGACCTGGACTTGTGTTTTGTTTCATTCACACATGTTTAACACACAAACCCTGCACATTTTGATTGAGTTCTTCTCTCAAAAACACTCTGTTCCACCTTGTGATGTCATGTGGTAATACAGGAAGTGCTCCACTGTGTTTTTAAACTGCATACACCTTCACTAGAATCATTTGGATCATTTCAGCGCTGGAATTGTCAATCTCCACTGAACTAAAGGTAAAATGAACTGTTCAGTTAAACTCCCACTTCATGACATCACCAGTTGGACACAGACTAATAATAAAGAGTTACCAGTGTTGGTGAAGTAATGTTTGCTCATTACTCGTTACTTCTTTAAAAAGTAATCCCTTACTTTACTTAGTTACCCTCTATAGAAATTAAGACCAATTGTCGACAAGAACTGTAAGGGAAAGTTGAAAAGAACTTTGAAAAGAGTTCAAGAGGACGTGAAACTTTTAAGAGGTAAACGGGTGGAGTCCACACAGTCTGCCCGGAGGATTCAGCTCAGCGGGTGAGGGACGGGTGCTCGGTGCAGGAGGATCCCCACGAGGGACCTCTCCTGGTGTGTCACTGGCCCCCGCTTCCTCTGAGACAATGTGCTGTGACTGGTTCTGGGTCGTCCAGGAAAGGATCGATGTGTGCTTTAAAGCTCCTCCCGCCAGGACATCGCCTCTTCCCAGAGCCGCAGGTGCCCTGTCCTCCCTCTCCACCCAGGCCCCCCCGCTCCCAGTGAGACTGTCCACCAGGATGGACTGTCCTCCCCAACTGTGTCGTGCCGCCAGGGCAAGGACTGGCCCATGTACACAGAAAAATAACATTGCGGCGAATAAAAAAAAAAAAAAAAAAGTTTTGTTACCAAAATTTCAGTAGTAGCATGTTACACTTTTTTTTTACCGGAAAAAAGTAGTTACATTACTCTAAGTCCGGCCCTCCAGGACCTTTAATCTGGCTGTCGGCTGATTTTCTACTAAAATATTTTAAGCATATATTTTAGCAATATTATATATTTAAGCAATATTTTTAGCAGCGTCTCCAGCGTCTCTGTACGTGGCCCCTCCCACCAGAGCAGCACAAATGAAGACTTGTCTCTTTCCAAACGCTCTTAAAGGACGATCGTTTTGACTGTTGACCGTGACACCCTCATCAGAAAAATGTCCAACATGAGAAAAGTGGAGCCGAGTGCAGGATTTTACAAGAAAAATTCACTTATTCCTATTTGCAAACAAGTTCATGTTAAAACTTTGTGCTGAAATTCCATTTTTCTTAAAGTTTCAGGTTGTTCATAAAATTATAATATTAAAAGAAAGAGTTCATCAATTAAAAAAGATTTCTGTAATAGATTGGTGTTTCTCTGCACAAATATTTGAACTTATTGTTATTTTGGGGGTATATCCAGCTCCTTTGGAATCAAAGTAGGTTGGATACGGCCCCCGGATCAAAATGAGTTTGACACCCCTGGTCTAACACATTACTTTGTGTTGGGTGTAACTTTATACTGCATTACACCAAACACTGAGAGTCACTCATGTGAACGTGTGAATGCAAAACAGAGCTGTAAGGACATTTTTAAGCATTATAACAAGGTTTAAAGTTCACAAGTCCATTTTACTTAATATAGAACCTTAAAGCAGTGCTCAAATTCAATGTACAATTTCACTGAACTATTAATTCACTCCAGAGCTGGTAAGGTGGATTTTTTACTTTTTTATTTTTAACACAGCTGCCCTTGGCAACACTGTCAGAACCAAGGCTGCCAATCTGCACCTCCGGCCTTCCCCAGTACCACCAATCACTCACACAAATCTTTCACATAAACTCAAAAGTGCGTGCAGTGTCTTGCCTTAGTATATAACAACATCATGCGTGCAGTTGGAGCGGGAATCAGACCACCAACCTCTGAAACAGTGATAATAATAAAGGATTAAACACATGTGAATGAAACAAAACACAACTCCAGATCTGTTTTTGAGGAGGAAACAACATTATAACATGGCTTAAATGTCACAAGAGTCGATTTTGTGTAATATAAGACATTAAAAACATCTTATCTAGGAGAAACTTGGACCCAGAATCCTCCAAATTTGCAATAAAACATTTATTTCGAAATCTTCTGTCTGCAGTCTTCACTTACATGCACTCATTCTGTTGTGCCTATCATGCGAGTGTGCTTCGTCACCCCTTTGAGACCCAGAACCAGCCCACGAAATGGTACAAGCTACAATCCCATCTTCTCCAACTCTTTGGGACTTTAATATTTGATTTGCATCGCGAGCTGGAGGTACGGGGCCAGATGGTGCACAGGTTTAGTGAGCAATGAGTCAGAAAAGCATTCAATTTGTACGGCGACCGGCAAACGGCAAACTTCTGCGGCTTTGAAATTGAAATTACGCGATGAATAAATAACGCGCTCCCCAGAATTGCATTAAAATATATGAGTCAAGTGAAAACGGGGACAGGGCGAAAAGCATTTTGGAATTGGCTTAAGGACGGCTTGAGTTTAAAATGGAGAAAAACAACAAATATAAGGAGAAAGGATAACCGCTCTGCAAGACGAATACATGGAGGACGTGCACTCTCTACTCAGACAGATCGGGAGTCTAACCCACAACCTCAGCTCAACTTGTACAAGCTTTTAAAGGTCCTATATACAGTAAGGCTACGCTCAGACTGCAGCCTGAAGTGACCCAAATCTGATCTTTTAATGAGTCTGAACGACACAGATCAGATTTTTTCGAAAGGCCACTTGGATATGTGCTCCTAAAACCGATACATATCTGATCTTTTGACATGTGACTTCAGTTTGAACTAGGGATGTCCCGATCACTTTTTTTTGCCTCCGAGTCCGAGTCCTTTGATTTTGAGTATCTGCTGATACCGAGTCCCGATCCGATACTTCTATAAAACATTATGAAATAAACTAAGAGCAAAGAATAAGATCCAGGATGTGTGCAGGATCAGACTGTGTTGATTTCAGGTGTAGTATTTGGGCTGAACTTAGTGTGAAAAATCAAATGTCCAAAACTTTAATTTTGCTTAAATTTTAATTACTTTAATTAACTTTTCTAACCATGAACCATCATTGTTGAAAATCTTGACTTTTCACAGTCTGGTCTTTGAATGTGTAACTTAGTAAACTTAATGAACTGGACAAAACAGGAACCAGACCAGAACCAGATCAAACCTGAGACTCGACTCTGCACAATCTACACTTTGTACATTTGATATTATATGTTTGCATGTGCTTTATATTTAAAACATTTAGACTCGTCTGTGAAATCCAAATAATACAAAATCTTACCAAATAAAAACAAGATGACAGAAGCCCCACAGCCTCTCTCCCCCGCACCGCCACCACATCCACAAACCCACAGAGCAACACCACAACATCAGTCCCACCACTCAATAAATGCTTCATGCCACTGGACGGACCCTCCCCGCCAAAAGCACCAGCTCCGCAGCGCAACATGATGAAGCCATCGGCCGCGCAGGTGTGAACACAGGCCACAGAACCACAGGCAAGAGCGCCTGAGTATGACACAGCCCAAAAGTCCCAGCGCGAGTGCACCTCTAGTACAACAGGCGCTGGGACAGACAGTCGCACTAACTGAACGTCCCTGAGCAAATCCTGTGTCTCAGAAAAACTGTTGTGTCCTGTGTGTCCTGTGTGTTATATACGTATACTACTTATCCGATACCTGATCAGCACATAATGTCCGAGTCCAGATCAAGTCCGCAGTCACGTGATCAGCACTGATTTCCGATCACGTCACGGAAACTGTCTGGCCTCTCAGCATTAGGATTTGCTCGACGGTAGGCGGGTACTTTTTTATTTAACCACTCGCTGCTATTTGGTCGCCGCTAATAGGGCTAGCTGGTATATTAAGCTTTTCCCAAATCCCGTAGGAAGAAGGACAATAACGTCTTTCCCCTTGATAAAATTCACCAAACATTCTCTTTGTTCCGCCTTTAAATCCTCGATCTCGCGAACCGTTGCCAACACAGTCTGTCTGTTTCCATCTACATCCATCTCAACGCTTTGTTTACTGTTGTGTTGTACCACAAACAGGAGCTTGAGTTTGACGTCATGGCTTCACAGCTCACAGCAATTTCTTGGGTTCTTGCAAACCGTCTATCGTATTCTGATTCCTGACCTAGTCGATGGGGAGAAATGAAATTGAGTGGAGGCACTAGTTGGCGCCAGCCTGACTAGGTGGAAACTGGAAGAAAGCCACAACCATGTACACAAACGTTCTTCTCGTCATCTGAAAATTGTGTATGAACTAAGTCATTAAAGCACATCTCAATCCCTCCGCTCTTGGCTGCGACTCTGCACCCACATGTTCCTTTCTTCAGACATTGCTGCCACTGCCCCACAAAACACCACGGCCAAAAACATTAACCTTCTCCTTATCGTCTCCTCCTTAAAACAAATAATCTGTACATGTTCTGGCTCTGGTACGACAGAAACTTTAAAATCTCAGGTGCTCAATGTGACTTTAGGCAACTTCCGTAAACACTGAGCACGTTCGCTGTGTGTGACATCACTGTGTCCTCCAATGTGCATGCTGGACACTTTAAAAAGTGACAACATTATAACATGGCCAAGCCTCTGGGCGGCACCACTGTAACAATTACTGACAAATACCTTGAAAAAATGTTACTGAGCGGGCTCGCCTCTCCACAGATCTGATAAAGAAGTGTCAAAATGTCTGACCTCTGAGCTTCAGTGGTCTCTGGTCATGGACATAAAACATCAGCTGTGTGCAAATACAAACACATGAAAAGTGTATCACCAGAAGAAATACGACTGCTCTGAATGCATTG